GGGTTCTTTTACCTGGACCTGAACAATGTCGATGGACGTCGATTCATCGATGACCACCAGGAGTTGTTGAAGGTCATGCACCGCTTCTTCGAGTCTCCTATTGAGATCAAGAACGAGTATGGACTGATCGCTCCTCACCTTGGGTGAGTTACGAAGCCCAGAATACCTCAATTTTCATGCAAGTACTGAACTTTTCTAGATACGAACCTGTTGGTTCTCGCAACGGTTCGCTGGAAGGCAAGCGAGACGGCTATGAGATGGTCAAGATCTCTCGCGATGAGATCCAACGCGAGTCGCCCCACATTCCTCGCAACATCAAGAACAGCTCCGATCTCAAGGTCATCGAGAACGCCATCTCGGGCAACAACATCATGGGCAAGGCCATTCTGGCAGCTCTGTCAACTGCCTTCGGCCTGACGGGTGGTGCGCGTTTCGAGAACCTGCACCGCAACCACCGCCCTTCAACGAGCACGTTGTCCATGATGCACTACATCCCTTCGCACCCAGTCAAGGACGGCAACGTCGGCCACCAGAAGCACACCGACATCAGCTCATTGACAGTGCTCTTCACCGAGCAGTGGGGCCTCCAGATCCGTCCACCGGGCAGCAAGGAGTTTGGCTTCGTGGAGCCCAAGAAGGGCCAAGCCATCATCAACGTCGGCGACTCTCTTCGCTTCGCCAGCGGCCACACCTTCCAGTCGTGCATCCACCGTGTTGTGCCGTACGACTACACCGAGCATCGCTACTCGGTTGCATACTTCCTTCGCGCTGAGGACGAAACTATGTTCCAGGACAGCGAGGGTCGATATGTCACCTCGCGCCAGTGGCACGACGAAAAGTTCCTGGCTTTCCTTGCATCGCCTGCGGATCAGGCGGCTGCTCCGAGCTCTTTGCTCTTGGGTGGCATGCAGGAAGATGAGACTGATGTTTACGGTCTTCCTCAGACGAAGCCTGTCGCTGTTGATGCGGCGAAGAACTCTGGTGTTGAAGTGAGTGCTGTCGAAGTCAGCGCTTAGTAGAACCTCTGGGCGATGGGATGTCTTGTTGAAGGGTCTTCTCTATAGCTTCAAATAAATTGTACATAGCTAGCAACACGTTCTGCGTAAGAATACTCATGAACCTCCTACCCTTGTTTTCCACCAACCTCAGACCACTGACGTATGATACTGCACATTTGACAAGAGGATCATGTGTAGCGTTACATCATACTTTGTTTGCCAATGAGCGCTACTGCCATAAAGATGAACATGTCCTCAATACCCCACAAAATAGAATGAGGACGTAGAGTGCATCGACCGGGATCGAACAAGAACTAACCTGGATGTTGGCTAAACCGGTACATTTGCCGCCACTTGGCACTATATGTACATTCCTCGACCTGGGTAACCCTTCGATATGATCACATTCGAATGATTCATGGGATTAACCACGATGCTGTTCATTTTGGCTTTGCTTTACTCTAGAAGTGTCATTGCGTGCGACAAAGATCATCACTACCGACGTCATGATCGCCACCTACAACGGCGTGATACATCCCCCTTATTCCCTCCAATGTTGACGCCAAACGAAGAGATTTTGGTATCGTCCTTCGACAACACGTCTATAGCGTCATGGTCTAGTTACTACTGTGATTACATGTCCCTTTCCTTCAAGATCAAGAAAGAAGCTTGCTGACCGTCGCAGCGCATAAGCGGAACCTCGCAGGGGAGAGTGAGACGGTTCCACGATGGACTGTTGCGCGATGGGCTGAACATGACTTCAAAACAAGACTAGACAGCTATCGTATGTTATTCGTCGCATCTACTTGAATAAGAAGGCTAACTAGAGAGGAAGACGTTTACCTTGACTACCCAGTCCATCGTGCTTTGTCACTTGACTATGGCAACGGTAGCACATACCACGCAACACTCGAGGAAGAAGTACTTGATGAAGATGAGCCCACAGGCGATGCGAACAGAGTTCCTGCGTTTCATGGGTATTCCGGCTCAGGTAACGTATCCGCTGAGTACGTCTACGTCGGTACGTGTTACTCGCATTGAAACATTTTCGATGCTAAACCCAGTAGGTCGAGCTTCTCAAGAAGACTTCAAACGTCTTCTTGTCCTAAACATCACGCTTCAAGGCAAAATCGCCCTCGCGAAATACGGCGGCCCCTTCCGCGGCCTCAAAGTGAAGAACGCACAAGCCTTTGGTATGATCGGTGCTGTAATCTTCACAGACCCCGGGGACGACAGAAACATGACAGCCAAGAACTACGCCACGTATCCGGAAGGACCGGCAAGAAATCCAACGAGCATTCAAAAAGGTAGTGTCATGGATTTGAGCACGTATCCCGGAGATCCGACAACACCTGGATACCCATCTAAAGAGGGCGTAGAGAGGAAGGAAAAGAAGACTGTGCCTGCAATCCCGAGTTTGCCGATTTCGTGGATTGAAGCGAAACCATTGTTGGTCGCGCTGAATGGTCATGGTGTTGATGCGAAGACTACGGATCGTCCGATTTGGGTGGGTGGAATCGATGCGGTTGAGTACAGTTCCGGGCCGTCAGAAGCTGTGCTATCGATGAGCAATATAATGAGGGGCGAGATCAATTGGATCCACAACGCGATTGGCATTATCAACGGTACGAACGAGGATGAGGTTGTTATCGTGGGGAATCATCATGATTCTTGGATGATCGGTGGAGCAGGCAAGTCAGGAACGCAAGCCGGGACTTTGGACAAGACTAACGTGCACAGCGGATCCGCATTCGGGCTCTGCGATTCTCATTGAGTTGGCTAAAGCAATCGGTGCTCTGGTGAAGACGGGATGGAAGCCAAAGCGAACCATCGTGCTATGCAGCTGGGATGCTGAGGAATACGGTCTAGTCGGAAGGTGAGCCATCAAGTCGGAACGAAGATGAGCACTCCAGCTAACAGAATTCACAGCACCGAATGGGTCGAAGAATACCTACCATGGCTGAGATCCTCCGCAGTATCCTACCTGAACATCGATGTTGGCATAGCAGGCACCATCCCAGATTTCGGTGCCACCCCAGATCTCCACGCCCTCACCACGTCCACCGCGCGAAAGGTCATCTGGCCGCATGGCTCAAATCACACCCTATATGACGAATGGGAGGAAAAGACCGGCGAGATCGATACTCTAGGTGCACAGAGTGATTACACGGCTTTCGTTCATGGCGTGGGCATCTCTGCTATTGATATGGGCACGACAAGAGCGCCACTCGACCCAATTTATCATACGCATTCGAACTTCGATTCCTACCACTGGATGACTAAACTTGCGGATCCGGGGTTCGTGATGCACAAGGCAATCGGTCAGTTCTTGACGTTGATGTTGTATCGATTGGTCGACGAAGAAGTTGTACCGCTTGAACCGGCAAATTACGCGGTGGAAATGCGAGCGTGGCTCGAGGACTTGAAGGGCGTCATTGAGGCTGCAAATGCGACAACCGCAGTAGTGATTGGAGAGCTTGAGAATGCAGTTGCGACATTTGAGGATTCGGCACAGCAGTTCAATGCTGCTCGAGACATGGCCGTGAGTTCAAACAGTTCGCTTCTGATCAGACAGGTCAACGACAAGGCGCGCGATGTTGGACACGGCTTCGTCAGCCAGGGTGGGCTTCCGGGCAGAGAGTTCTATAGACATCTTGTCTTTGCTCCTGGGGTCGATACTGGTTATGCGCCTGTTACATATCCTGGAGTGACAGAGGCTGTTGCTGCGGGCAATCTTACTCTGGCAGAGGCGTTTGTCGGGAGGACGGCAAAGGCGATCTTGGCTGCGGCAGCTATTCTCACACCGTAGATGCAGATGAGATGTATTTGAGATGAGATGGCGATAAGCTTACTGCAGTTGATGCGACGTCTGCCCTTTTGTGCGTCAGCTTGTCTCTGTCTTCGCTGGGAGTAGACGAGGCCGTGGTCAGATATTCATGCCAGCATTAGATCCAGACGACTGTCATGTGAACCTGCAGATGAGCGGTGCGAGTTGATACAATTCGAGATGCAGATGACGGTCAGCGAAGCGGGAGGCTGGAGGCCAAAATAGATTCCCGTTTCGCGACGCGTTCTCATTGGTCGAGCCGAGCACAGCCACAAAAGCCATTGTGACGAGCACACTTTCATGCATATCTCTGACACTGCACCACCGAGTCTATAGGTCCGGGTAATGAAGAATGTATGTATGCACCTAGCCTCGTGTGAGCTGTCGCCTTGCACGATGTTCTCTGAGACAGACTACAAATGGACTGACCGGTGAAAACTTCTAAATACGGCCCCCAATCTCTGGGCGCCTGATGCATTGACAACCATAGCCTTTGGCACTCGCCGACATCGATACATTGCAATGCCTTCCAATAATGAGCTTATGGCTGGTGGCGCGAGATGTGATTGGGGTAGAGCTTGTATGGTCCCCAGCTCGAAAGGCTTCACGCTTTGATGTCGCTGTAGGCGGGTACAAGAAGGTACCTAGGTAGGGCAACGACACATCGATTCAATCACGACTGTGACTGTGAGTCACAGTAAAAACCTTGAATTATATCGGCGAGGTATACAGAATATCGGTCTAACCCCATCAACATCAGTCAGGCCGAATGCAGCAAACTCTCCGACTCAACCCCAGGCAACCACCCGTATCCGTAGATCCCTTTACCACAGCAGGGCTGGCCCCCAAACGGATGACAGCCATAGGGCTGCGCCGCCAATGTGTCTGCCTTGGACGCCCACGACAACTTGAAACTGCTCTTGCCATGTGAAGGTGGCACAGACAATGAGGGCAAGGCCAATAGCCAATGACGTGGGTGTGCAAACGAGCGCAAACACGTAAATAGTGATGTGGTACCCGTCGCGACTTCTCTTTCTCTTCACCTCTCACTCCAATCACTACGCGCCGGGAAAACCTTTCCTCTTACAAACGAAACCGATACCACCACTGCTGTCGCAGCTACCCATCATTCATCACCATCCGCACACGGCTCTCTACACATACGAATCAACACCATGGCGATCGCGAACCCACTTCTCAACTTCGTCGTTCGCGGCTTCCAGGCTCTTTTCGGTATTGTCGTACTCGGAATATCGGTCTCACTCATTCGCGGCCACCACTGGGGTGGTCTCCCCGCTAGTCTGGGCTTCTCAGCCTTTGTTGGTGGCGTCACGATTCTAGGAGCAGCGCTTGGAGTCGCGGGACTGTTCTTCAGCTTCTTGGATGGTATGATTGGATTGATAGTCGACGGCGTTGTTGCTGTCATCAACGCGGCAGGTGGCATCGTAAGTGCTAGCCCGAGTTCTGAAGGACCTCTCAGAATTTTGCAATTGGATATTTCAGCTGACAAAGGTCAAGGTTCTCGCTCTCAAGATCTCTGGTGTGGATTGCGATGGCGACACAACTATAAAGAACGCGACCAAGCTCATTCTCAACGACATCTTCAATGGCGGCTGCAGAGCCGAAGACGAGTGCTGGTACTATTACGCGGAAAACGACCCCAACACCATGAAATCGAGGTGCAAGTCGACCCAAGCCGACTGCGTCTTCATGTTCCTCACCGTCATTGTCCTCGCCGTGACTGCCTTGCTGGCTTTCTTGCGCATGAAGAAGGGCTACTAGATTCGGAGAAGCACGATGGTGAGTGTTTCTGAATCGACTTATTCAGTCCCGCCTCGCTAATTCTAACAGCGAACACAAAGCAGTATAGCGGTGATCTAACTTATCCACACTTAACGTAGTGTTGCGCATGTCTCTGGAGGATTTTACGACGGTCTCTTTCTCGTATCACGATACCCTACTACAAGCAATTTCATCATCTGTGCATTTTGTCACATGAACAAGCGTTTCGACGCTCTCCGTAGTTCCTCACTAAGCAAGGTACACTCCTTATGGTAGTCGACGCAGTCCAGTCGCGGCCTATGTGCGACACACACCGTTAATGAACACGAAGTAATGAAAGACGAAGTTGCACGTACTTATTACCCGCTTTGTGCAACTGTGCTGTGAAGCTTTGCTGACGCCGAGGCGGGTGAAAGGTAACACCATTCGGAAGAGCCTCGAAGGATTTGGTCTTCCCCAACGTGTGAGCAACTGTCCCTATGGTTTGATATAGTAACAGAATGAACCACCATTCAGTTTATTCTTCTTTGATAATCCACATGTTTGTCATCTCAAGTTACAGGCAACTGATCAGCCACGATGCGCGTCTCTCCGTCATTTCCTGTCTTGATTGCGCGCGGTATCCAAGTTCTCTTCAGCGCTACTGTGTCCATCATCACTGTATTTCTGATCGCTAGCCGTGAGACCGGACCATTCCCACCTATCTTAGGGTCTTCAGCTGGAGTGGGCTTATCGACGTTGGTTGCTGGACTCTCAACCGCCATTCTCCGTAACTACCTGCATCCCTGGATTAGAAACACCATTGATACCGGAATTCTATCGCTGAACATGGCTGTAGGCGCTGTAAGTTTAAGACTCATCCCTATACCCATGCTGCGGAGTCATCTCACTAATCCGCGGTGTTAGATGATGGCTTCTGAAGTGAAAGGCTATTCGTGCAGTGATGAGGGTGCGTACGAGAATACGGTCGTCTGCGCACAGTGGGACATGGAGCATCCTGAATTTATTCAATGCTTTTTCGATTCTTTTTACGGGTACAGTGGTGTGAGGAATCGCTGCATTCTCTACCAATGTAATATTGCCTTTACGCTCTCAACCGTACCCGTGATCTTTGTCATTTGGGTCCTGGTCTATGTGAGGACAGAGAAGGGATGGAGAGTAGGTGGATGGACTATTGAAAGAGTACGAGGTTCATATGAGCCTGTAGAATCACACAACGCAATACCCATGGTAGCTATCCCACACAGGGCACATCTGCCTTGATTTGCCAAGGCGTTTTTCAGGTCTGGTGGAGGATCAGTGTTGCACAGGATGATATAGCACGGAAAACTCTACTCAAAAGGTACGAACATGTGATGTACTCCAAAGTGGTGTGACTGTACGACATTGTCGTCGCAGAACGTGTCGCAGCTACCCGCAAGGCTGTGCTGGCAATTCATAGTACCATCTACACATCTCTCTCGCTTCATTCTTCTTCTAGACTCATCCAACACCTACAACATCAGCCTTCTTCTACTCTATCTCTGATACCCTCACTCAATGGCCTTCACCAAGACCCTCATACCTTCGTCTATCCTTCGAGGCCTTCAAGCCCTCCTAGCTATCGTAGTCCTCGGGTTGAGTGTGACCCTCATCAAAGGCCACAACCCCACTCCCCATAAGGAGTTATCAGGCGTACCGAAACTTCTTTTCCTCGCAGCGTGCATCGGCGGTCTCACTCTTGCCGGAGCCATCACTGGTTTTGTGTTGGCATGCACTGAGTTTCTGCGAGGCTACTTCGAAGTACTCATCGACATCGTAGTCTTATTGGCAAATCTTGTCGGCGGAGTGGTAAGTTCCGCTCCCACTCGTGTTAGGTAGAATGATTCAGCTAACGAATGCTAGCTCATAGCCATCCGGCTTCAAGGCAGAAACTGTGCGGACACTAGTGATAGGAGTCGGTGGGGCGACCAGGTGGAATCTTCCAAAAACAAAGGGCTTGAGGGTATCGACATATTGAGTGGCGCCTGCAATAAAAACGGATGCCTATATTCCACTCGAGCAGAAGCAGGGCATCTCAATACGCGGTGCAAGCAGAGTCAAGCAGACTCGGTCTTCATGTTCCTGACGGTCGTGGTATTGTTCGTAGCACTGGCTCTGACTTACCTGCGTATCAAGAAGACGCATTGAAGCGAGGGTGAGTGGGTTATATAAGAGGTGGTGAGACCTACGCAAGAAAGAGCAACGAGGACAGGAAAGCAAGGGAAAGCGCATATAGCCAGAGCAGATTCACAAAGACGAGAAGCCAATGTAATGTAATATCATGTTCCAATTCAATCACTCACTAAACGTGCACACTGCCGTCCAAACTCCTGTTCTCTTACTTCGCAGCCGCATCAACGCCTCGCACGTCCGTTCAGTCTCTGGGTATCCGCTTCTCTCAAACCCCCAACTACGCCATCTCATACAGAGACATCGTTCATGGCTTAAACTGGGCAAGACTGTAGCACAAATTAGCTGTGTTCTGCCTACGCAATGTGTTCCAGTATCTTACACTGCCGCAAGATCCACAGGTCTTGGCATCGCCGCTAATAGTAGAGCCGCACTTTGGGCAGTCGCTGTGGAAGTTGACGAGTTCGATGGTGGACTGCATATTGATTGTTTGCTGTCTCTTTCTTGAAGTTTGTGGTGAGATGTGATGTTGCGATGTCGTGGAGTAGTAGATTGCTGATAGAAGATAGAAGTTGGAGGGGTAAAGTGGGGTTGATATACAGAGCTTCTGCAGGGCCAGGCAGCTACTTCAAGCCGAGGCGGCTAGTGTATATGCCGTCAGATGACTGGCACGCGGTAAATGCGGTGGACCTCGCGATTGGAGGTGAGTGAGACGCGTGGGATGGGTGTTTCGCCATACGGGCGGCAAGGGAGACGGCTCCGCCCGATAGGAGGCAAGTAAGTGGAGTACGCTGTATGTTGAGAAAGACCGAGGACCTCGAGGTATAGTTCCCGTCCCTATCATTTGATGGGAGGAAAGGCCGAGAAGAAACTCTAGGCAAGCTTCTGATTATTACCTATAGACCCTACCTAACATGGCAGATGACCTGTCCGTTGATAACAGCGAACCAGCCATCTTCCTTCTTCTCCATTTCCCTCCATGTCGCAGCGATCTCTTCCAGATCCTGCTCCGTCGCATATCCACTGTCCAGAGCCCGCTGTTTGTAGTCGCTTTGCACCGTTCGATCGGCCCAGAGTCCGCACCACCACTGTCGCTCTTCCGGTGTGCTGAATGTCCAGGCGGCTACGCTAGCCTCGATGTCGCTTCTTGGGAAACCGGCTTGCAAGGCTATCGCATGCACGTACCTGCCCATGTTCGGATGTGCCTTGAGCCCAAACGCAATCTTGATGTATAGTTCCTTCCACTTTTGCATTCCTGGATGCTCTGGATACCAGTCCATGGCACTGTAGTTGCACTCTCGGACTGCGACGATGCCGCCTGGCTTGGTCAAGCGCTTCATTTCCTTCATCGCACCCAGTGGGTCTTGTAGATGCTGCAGCACTTGATGCGCATGTACAATATCGAAGCCAGCCTCTTCTGCACCATCGAGCTTGTTCCATTCATGTATATCCCCAGCCTCGAACCGTATGTTTGTGATGCCCTTTTCCTCCGCGTGTTTTCGCGCCTTCTCGATGACTTCGGTGGAGGGATCGATGGCATAGACGAAGCCTTGTGGGACGCGCGCAGCAAGGTCGACGCTGATAGTTCCCGGGCCGCAGCCCACGTCGAGGATCTTGAGTGAAGGGTTGTTGAGGTAGGGGAGGAGGTGTGGACATGAGTTCTCGACAGTACGCCAGCTGTGGGAGCGGAGGACGGATGCGTGATGGCCGTGAAGGTATGGTCCTGACATCGTTGCTAATTGAGGTAATCGTGGTAATCGTATTGAAGCTCTAGTGAGTAGTAGTCAATTGAGGGTGTAGTGTGTAACTCAAGCAACGGAGAATCAGAGCGTTGTTATACGAACAGTCGTTCCTGCAGCCTGTGTTAGTCGCGGAGTTAGTTGGACATAACGCGTGTGCAGTCGGAAATAACGTGTACAAGTATCTCATACTCCGAAGTCGGTGTCAAAGCACTCTGGCTTTTCGCATACACGTTCGAGAGCCAGGATGGGGTGACAATGGAGGGGATGGTTGACAGGCGGCACCAGGGCATCTCCAAGTCCGAGCATCGGCCATCTCGGTACCATTGCTTAGTCACCCATTCGATCGGCCACCTCCATACCTCCACCATCTACTCCAACGTCTCAAAGGCCAAGTCGCGCATTACCAGAATGTGTACAAGGCACATCGCGTACCCAGCATGAGTCTCACAGTACAACCTGACCCCATCTACCCCTAGCTCCCACCCCAGCCACCCACCAAAACACCAATCACCCTAGTCCCAAAACAGACAATGGTAAATCCTCCCCAAACCTCACAATCAAGATATTACCCACACATTACACACGCGCGCGCATACTGCCGTGCGCCCGCTTCTGCGCAGAACCTCACACTCGGGTCGACTCGGTCCCACTGCAACCAGTATCTCATCCTGAAGTTACCGCATCGAGTAGGTATTCGCACAAACCGTTGATTGCGGGAAACGTGCATTGTCCGTTTTGGATGTGGTCGGCATGTATGTTTTGGGTAGCGCTGCATGTGTTCATGCATGGAATATGGACTGGTGGGTTTGTGGTAAGGACTGCGTGAGCATATACGCGGGAGGGGGTTTGACTGGTGCGCGAGGGATGGATGGCTGATGGGGCGGGGTGACGGATGGGGTAATGGGGAGCGAGGGGACAGGGGATACATATTGAAGAGTGGTAGGCTAATTGGAACTGTATAGTTGTATCTTGGTTCTTTGCGACGAAGGTTGTGGGATGAGGCAATTGTACAAAATGGTAATGCGTATGCTAAGCTAATCGCAAGAGGAAGGATGATGATGAGAAATGAGGAACGTATTTTTCGTACTAAAAGAGGTGATGGTGGTA